AAGAAGGTATCAATTTTGAATAGGGTTACCACCGGCTTCTAAAACAATAAGACTTACACCGTTCGCGCAATTTAAAAAATAAGATTTGCAAGAAAGAACGTCTTATTTTTTTGAAAAGTGTTGCCGCCTAATACATTTTTCTTTTGGGAAGAGCATCAGTTTACACTGTTCCGTCGCGTTTCCAAATGAGGCGTCAGATGAAAAATATTGACTTAGAGACCTGTTTTGGTTTTTTAAAGAGTTGCCGCCTTATTAAAAATGCGTTGTTTAAATATGATAGTCAGTAAAATGTCACAATATGGGCATCAAGCGCACGAAGTTTAGACTAAATTAATATTTTGGTGTTTTTAATAGAGTTACCACTTATTAAAAAAATGTATAACTATGAATGGTAAGTAATGTATTAAGGACATTCGATATTGCTATCAAACGAAAGCTGGTTAAGAGGGCTTTTGTGTAATTGTATGCGAATTTTTGATGCTTGCTATAAATGTAGTTTCTAATTTATTGATTGAAGTATTCTAGTTAAATAAAATGTTACAAAGTGGGCTGCAAATGAAAAGATTTTAAACTAAATTAATATGATCGGGTTTTTAATATACATATTCAGTTGCCAACTACTTAAAAAATGGCGCACGTATTGAAATAATATTTAAAGATATCTAATATTGGTAACAAACGAAAGGAAGTTAGGTGAAATTCTGCGATATTCATTTAAAAAGCTTAATGATATGCATATATATATTAAACGAAAAGGAAAAGAAGTGATGGTTTGCAAAGATATATTTGTTCGAGGGTTGCCACTTAGTTAAAAATTTGCTGAAAGTAAACGATAATTGATAACTAAATACTTATTTATTTTAACATACATACAAGTTTTTGGAAAAACTAACAAATAAACGTACACTTGCGATCAGCTAATTAAGTCATCAACATTTTTAACAATTTTGACCTTCTTTCACATCTACAGGCCTAGCCCATTCATTTGGCACCTCTTCTATATTAATACAACGAACGGTATAAGTCTTCTATTTTAGAAGCAGGTGGCAACCCTATTCAAAATACTGAGACCTTCTTGAACATCTACAGGCCTAGCCCTTTCATATGGCACCTCTTATGTTCTAATACAACGAACGATGCAGATTTTATAATTTTAAAAAAGGTGGCAACCCTATGCCTTATGGTACATACATCTAGAGGATAGGCCCTTTAATTTGGCTAGGGTTGCCAGATTTTTTATGCGCGAAATCAGTACGTTAGACCTTTTCATGCTAAAAAAATCAATACTTTTCAGTACATTTTTATTCAAAGCAAAATTATGAATGTAAGTAATAGATAATACTTTAAAACGTCAGAAAACGTAGGTTTAACCATGATAAAAAAGAAGGTAGTTTCAATAAACAACTTTTGACGGATAATAAAATTTTTTGAAGTTTCATAAATTGTGAGCATTCTCAACGGCCTTGCCGCTTTGATAATATTAAAACAACAAATCGGAGTCTTTTCTTTCCCACATTTATATCAATTTAATAATACTTCAAATGAAAAATCATTATCAGTGCTTGGTAATTTTTTTGCTTACGTGGTTCGCACATTTTTTATTAAAAATATATAAAATATGTAATGTTAAAGGAGACTTCATTGAAATTGTTCTTTTTATTTTATAATAAAAATCACGAAAGCATTATGTTGTTGTTGTTATATTGTTATTATGTTGCAATTTAAAAATGAAGTTCTAAAAAATTGTCTTTCCTGATAAATCCTTTTATAATCGCCAATACCATGTGAGTAAATTGTTCTCATAATTTAACATGCAAAACAAAAACAAATTGGAAAAAAGTATTTTTATTTTACTTATAATTTTGGAAATATTTGTTCACATGAAATTCGTGATTCGTGATGAAATTCGTGAAAATTTACTTTAAAATTTCTCATCAGATTTTGCAAAAAATTAGGCTTTGTGGTTAGCGTATCACCATTAACTTCAACAAATTTCGAATTTAAAATTTCCAATGTATGCAAAAAACTTGAATTCGTCTTGCGTAGAACGCCCTCCGATAAGCAATAAGCATAGGTATAATTTTGATCACTTTCTTCATTCGTTCTGAAACCTAGTTTCGTAACTCCCTTTTTGAGATTATGCATTAATTTTCAAGTTCATCATATTCGACATCTTTGAGTGGACTGATGAAATTTTCTGCTTAAAATAAAAATATTACTGCTTGTGATCAGGTAGTATGAATTTAATGAAATGTCATAATTTTATTAAAAGTCAAATGGTTAACAACAACAACGAATGTCATTAAATGAAACTATCTTCTTTTTTGTATCACGGTTTTAACAATATTTTGGTATATAAATAAAATATAGTTCATAAACATTAAGTACACGGAAGCCAATAAATTATTTTATATGGATGACATTTTTGAATAGCAATAATGAGATCATTTCCGTTTTCAGTGTTTAAATAGTCAAAGAATTCTATAAATTTTATTTTAGAATTAATTTTAATTTGAAGTTCACTTTCAAAAAATTTGACTAGAAGCCGGTTTCTCTCTTTGCGCCAGGAAGCAAACTTTATACTCAAGATCCTCTCAGCTGCTTCGTTTGAGAGTGGTATTGAAAAAACAAAATTATATATTTGTTAAACTTGGGGAAAAGGACCACTATTTAAGAACTTCATCTATATTTCTTAAATTAATTTTTTCAACTACGAAAATTTTTTGAAAGACTAATAATTCGCTAAAAAGAGTATCTAACTCTATATCTGTATGCAAAGCTCTTCTACAATGTCAGTAAATTGTGAAAAAAGAATTGTAAGTTATAGGCAACAGCTATTCGAATGTTCCAATTTGTTGCTATTAAAAAGAAAGTTATTTTCGAGATAACTAACAACACTCGACAAAACAACGTCAGCCTTGTTTTTAAATAATTTAAGCTCCATCATATTATCGCAACTGGTACGTAACGACCCGGCGATATGCCCATAAAACAAATGATCTTTTTGTTATATTACTTTCTTGGGTATATCAAACATTATCTGAAACATGTCAACTATAATTTAATTATTTTCTTCTTTCTTTTTACAGTACAGTTGAAGGAAGTTCCAACGTTAAAGTATAAACAGAACCAGATCGCTGTGCGAATTTCGTCGGCCGGAGCGATGCCGTTGGGTGATATGCGCCGCAACATTTCGCCCAGTAAAACAGAACAGAAACGAAATTCGCATCAATTAAATGGCAAATAAAAAACATAAAGATACAAAAGCGAGAAGATAAATCACAAAATTGTGCCATTCTGATTCTTGCTGATAATTATCTAATAGAAAAATGGGGAAACAAAGCTCTATTTTCACTGAGAGCTGGTTTTGTGACCGGCGGCAGCAGCAAAATTAAAAATAAATCTATTCTTGCCGAATTTCGTCAGACGAAATTCGTCGTCACTTTGATTGTGTGCAATCTCATAAACTGCGGTGTGTTTTAATTTGGCAGCGAACTTTCTTCCGACGAATTTCTCTGGGCGATTTGATTCTGTTTAAACTTTTATGTAAAAACTTTGAGAAAATCCTAAGGTATTTTGTTTGAATTGAAAATTCAGTACAAATCAGTACAAATTTTGAAAAGTCAGGACATTTGCGCACTAATTGAAGAAATTAATAAAATCAGTACAAGAGTTGAAAAATCAGTACTGTACTGATAAAATCAGTACGTCTGGCAGCCGTAAATTTGGCACCTCAGTTTTGAAAATCGAATAATCGGTGCAGATCTGATGCCGTTAACAAAAACTCCCTTCATGTATTGTATTTAAACATAATATGGGGCATTTCACCTCAAGTGACCCAACTTTTGAAATCTATGTCTTCCGATCGGGATGAAATTTGCACCAAGGTTAGTCCTAAAAAATAGTAGTTATGACACAAAATTTCAATGGGATCGGTCAAACACACTCCGAGTTGGAGGGTCTAGAATTTTGACATTTTGGTCAAACGGCCATTTTTTCGGATCCATATAACTAATTACCTATTGTATTTAGAAAATTTTTTCAGGAATGTTTTCGATAGATTTCTCTTCAGTCTTTACAAATTTTATTTTTTTTTAATTAAAATGAATTTTTTTTAATTTTTTTTTTTAAATAAAAAATAATTTTTATGTTTTTTTTCAAAAAGGGGTATTTTTTTTATTTTTTTTTGCTCAAAAGAAAGCTTAGGTATTTTTCTTTAAGAGCTTTGTGGTCGCTTAGTGGGATGCAACTTGTGTATCAATCAAAATTAGCGTTTAGTAACTCGAAACAGCGGTTTTTTTAATTTTTAATATATGACCTATTGTCTTCTTTTTTGAAAAACTTATATAAAAAAAAATAAATAAAACTTATATGAGAAGGTATATACAATTACCTTTCCAACGGTATATAACACGCCTAACCAAAGTTTCATACCCTCGATACTGCCATTCCCGTAGTTAAGGATGATTAAGATTTTTCGTAGTCTAACACAGCAGGTACTCGATTTTGTGCATCCAAACTCTTTATTAATAGCTTTGCAGAATTTGAGTACTAGATTTGCATACCTACTAGCACAATATTTAAAAGGTATGAAGAATATGGGATTTTCCGGTAGTTAAGGATGATTAAGATTGTTTATTTTTTGCTCAAAAGAAAGCTTAGGTATTTTTCTTTAAGAGTTTTGAGGTCGCTTAGTGGGATGCGACTTGTTTATCTATTAAAATGAGCATTTAGTAACTCGAAACAGCGTTTTTTTTTAATTTTTAATATATGACCTAAGTTTTTCTGAAACCTGAAAAGAAGACATATAAAAATTTAGATACAATTACCTTTCCAACGCTATATAACAATACCCACAATATGTACACCTTTGGAATAAAATAACTGTTTTTCTATAGAATTGGTCAAAATTATGAATTTTTTTATTTATTTAGAATAGTTTTTAATATATAATTTAATAAATAGATACATAAAAAGTATACAATATAGTTAATTTTATAATAGCCAGCCTTCCATCCACCTTATTTTCCACCTTTCTTTGTGGCTTTTTTCGTCAATCCTTTCTTAGGGTTACTGGGTTCTGCTGTTGATTTCATTTCGGGTTTCGCTTTTGGAAAGAAATCACATTGGGTAGAGGAAGAAAACTTCTTTAACTTGAGCCTTCCATCGCCAATCGGTATGAAAGCATGATATTGAGCGGTACCATCGATTGTTACTGCAGCATCGAATCTGCTCTTCAGTGATTTCGCAGTTTCCGCATGATCATCTTTGCTACTAAAAATTATTTCAGTTTCTTTACAGTACTTCTTCTCCCACCGGAATAAAGCTTTCGCATCTAAGATACGGGCTTGATGAGAGCATTGGAGGCTATACTTCGCTGCATTTCTTTTAATATTTGCTCCTATACCATCACATGCTCCTTTACCATGAGCAGTAGGATGAAAATGCCACTCAGCTGGTGTATCGAAATCTGTTTCATGAGCCATAAGATTTGCGAAGCTACTTTTGTTTTTAAAATGCTGACGAGCTCCATCCGAAACGTAGTATACCTTCGCTACTGTGAATTCGGATTTTAGATAATTTAGTATTATCTTCTGGTACTCATAAACAGCAACGGCGTCATGCTTCAAATCGTCGGATATGATTGCCATACTTTTATGTTCCAGTTTTCCATCTTTCATGTAGTAAATAACTATTGTAAATATAGTTGCTTGGTCGTTATTGAAATGGAATGCTTGTATGGCATCCTGGATAACATATTTATAGTTTTCTGCGAAATCGTATGAAATAACGAATTCACCTGCCTGCAAATGTATCTTCAAATTTTCGAAGAATGACCGCTGCTCCTTGACTAGAAAGTCATGGGTTCTCAAGTTTACCAATCCGGTACAAATTTCTTCCACAAAATCGTCCACACTTAAGATTACTGTTTTCAATGTGCACCTTTCAGACTGCAGCCAAGATTCAAATTTGACCTCCTCCACAAATTCTCGGTCAAAAGACTTGACCAAATTCTCTTTGATGAACGTAGTTCCCGGGCAATTTGAGCATTCACCCAAGTGGCAAGAAGTTGATACATTAGGACACATTGTCAATTTAAGGCGCAATCACGGTAACTGTTCAAATCTTCCGGCGAATCATTTGTTAAATAATTCAAGTTGATTTCCTTCAACATCAGCTTCACATTTTCATGATAAATGCAAACGCATACTGTATGACTTCCGCTGCTTCCTGCCAAGACGCAATGTTTTGGCCTGAGCTGGGTAAATTTTGTGAATCCAATTTTAATATCCTCGTGTTCAGATTGAAAGCTCGCGAACAGCTCATTCAGGTTGCAGAGAATTATCCTCTTCTGCATTTGAACTTTCTTACCGTCAATTCGTACAGACACCCAGTCTTTCATCCCTGGCATCAGGCGACTCATATCATCGCGCTGATAAAACTTAGTCACTAGAGCTTCAGTTTTGCACTCAAAAGGTTTTCCTTTCTTTGTGTTTGGGAGTGTGAGTATGCCATGCTCTGCCACTAATTTTTTAGCAATCCTGGCTTTTCTTTCTGATGTTCCAAACTCAGCCATTGTTTTTGCGCGACTCCATGTCGGTGGAGCAAGCGTGAGAAGTTGAATTTTTTCTTCCTGAAAAAATAAAAGTCAACAATTACCGGTTATTTTCTGCCCAAAAAATAAAAGGCAAATTTTAACTTTTATTTTTGCCTTAAAAAAATAAAAAGCAGAAATAACCGGTATTATGTGCAAACGTCAAGCTGTGAGGTAAACTACAACCTAACCCCTGTGCTCTAATTTTGGCTTTCTACTTACTAAGTTCATTGTGCTAATTCTGTGTTAAAGTAGTGATAAAAAGTGCTTATGAGCATCATAGTGTGAAAAATTTAAGCTAAGTGAAAGTTATTGGTTTTATATTAAAGTAAATTTAATTAAACTTCACTAGCATACATTCTAATTTTGCCGAGTCATTTGTTGCTATCATTGTTGTTGCATCCTTTGTAGTAAACTGAATTCATTTTGTTTTTGCACATTTGTTCTACTCTTTTTGTTTACTTCTTCTAGTAATTCTTGTCAGAGCTGTTTGCATTGCGTTTATTAAGTGTCATAATTACAGTGATACTCAAACTGTTCGCTACATTTATTGTAAGCTATTTACATCAGCTCCTTAATTGTTATAATTTATTTTGTTTGTCTTTTATTAACGAGTGTATTACATAAATCTTTCTATATGAAGTGCGATCTTGATACTTGCCAAATTAAAAGCGATTCTGAGCGCTACTTATCGTGCTGGCTGTGTGATGGTATTTACCAACCGAAATGTGCTGGTTTGACGGGAAGAATTCTGGACGCTATTAATGATGGCTAGGGCCTTCGCTGGTCTTGCGTAAAGTGCAGGTCAACCGAAGTTGATCTTTTCAAGCTATTTAGGCAAACCAGAAACGGTTTTACAGAAGTAGGAAGAGAATTGTCGTTACTGATAGAAAAATTTAAGCATTATGAAAATATGTTTAAATCATTGCAATCTGTTAAGGGTATCCGTGTGTCTAAACGTAAGCGTCTTCATAGTCCATCTAAGGAGATTACTGCCGGTGCACGTCAGAATAATCTTCCGACGGACTTAATTAATTGATCCTCTCCGTGTCCTTCAGCATCAGAATCCTCAGCCTCAAAAGACCGTGTAACGGAATCTGCTTCAGATAATAAAGAGCCTGAAGTATCTTCCCCTTCCCCCATTGACGTGGTGGCATCATCTTCAAAGCCTCAACCGCCTTCCCTATCCTCAACTACTAACGCAGTAACTCAACCCCCTCCGCCGGTACTCCAGTCTGATACAAGAAAACTAGTTGTGGTTCCGCCAAATAAGTCAATCTTTGTTTCTAGATTTTCGAGAGACACTACTGAAGACGTTATAAAGCTTTATACCTCATCAAAAATTACAACTGTCGACTTAAGCATCAGAAAATTTAATTTTAAATACGAAAGAAATATTGCTTCATTTAAAATTGACGTAAATTTAGATAATTTTAATGTGCTGCTTAGTAGTTCCTTTCCGAATTTAGGCCCAAAAAAGTAAATAACTTAGCTAATATTCCCCGTCATAACACTGAATCAAAAAACTAATTATTAAATCTGCTTTAAGTATTTATTACCAAAGTGTAAGAGGCTTAAATACTAAATTGCTTTTTATAAACGATATTTCTACAGATATACAATTTTCCAAAATTTCAGTGTATGCAGATGATGTAAAGCTTTATAAATCGTACGTTTCAATTCAAGAAAGGTCTTTGCTACAATCAGACTTAGACAGCATGGCTTACTGGTGTCAAGTAAATCTTGTGCCTCTAAATCTTAAGAAATGTAAAGTAATGAGCTTCTCGCGAAGAGCTGTTCATCCCTCTTCTTATACAATAGGTAACCATAACCTGGAACAGGTATACAATTTTGTGGACCTTGGTATCACAATGGATCTTAAGCTTAATTTTAATCTTCATATTAATGTGACAGTCAACAAGGCTAAAGGTGTACTTGCTTTTGTGAAACGATGGTCAAAAGAGTTTTGTGACCCTTATATCACTAAAACCCTGTTTACAACATTAGTTATGCCAATTCTGGAATACGGTTCGGTGGTTTGGAATCCAAGGTATCAAATTTACTCAGACAAGATGGAATCAATTCAAAAACAATTCCTACTTTTTGCTTTAAGAAATTTCCGTTGGGACTCTCAATATAACCTTCCACCTTATACGAGCCGATTAAAACTTATTAATCTTCCTACACTTTCCAGCCGCAGGCAAATGCTTGGTAGAATTTGTATAGATAAATTACTAACAGGCTCAATTTCAAGTCCGCTTCTTCTTGGCGAAGTTAGCCTTAATGTTCCCTCCCGGGTATCAAGAAACTTTTTCCCCCTATTTCTGAAAGCTTATAAAACTAATTTTGAATTGTACGACCCACTCCGTTGCTTGTGCCAAGATTTTAACTCTCATTCCAGCACGTTTGATATATCAGATCCGCTTTTAAGCATTAAGGAATCGATACTGTCCTCTCTCAATAGATGAATCATTAAAATAAAGACATAAAATCGGCTGATGAATTTAGTTCTGTAGCTGAACAGTTTTAGATCTTGACACTTAACAAACTCCTGTCTATCGTGACTCAGCGCAAAAATTGAAAATACTGGTTCCGTACGTCATGCGGACTGCGCCCCTCGTGCGGATGGGCGGGAATGGAGGGTAAAAACCGTTGGGATATTATTATTATTATTATTTGCTCAAAATGATAAAAGTCATATTTTTAAAAGTCATGGAGGAATCAGAATCTACCATGAGAGACGAGTATAATGGTACCTTTGAAAAAGCTATAGCATAATTTTTTCACTATACCTTTTTGATATCAAAAATTTTTAAATAACTTTTATTTTCAGTCTCTGATATTTTTAAAATAACTATGCGCACACCGAAACCACTCGCGGCGATGGCAAAACTGAAACTCAGACAAACAAGTTTGGGCATATCACAGCCAGTGCACGGACTTCGAAAAAATTAATATTGGTAGATTTTACATACAAAAATTGGTAGAAGTTGGTAGATTTTTTTAAAAGAAACATTATTATATAGTGTTTACTCATTTAGGATAAATGAAAGCTAATTCAGGTAAGATGGTGTTACCAAAGCAGCTGAATTTTCGCCTTGGGGATTTTTAATGTCAAAATGATGTATTTGTTGTAATTCTTATTGTCATTATGGGTAAAACTTGTTAGTGGAATTTTTGTTTTTGAACTTTTGCTGTCACCTTATTATACGAATTCGCCTTGGAATAAATTGTATTTCTTTATAAAACAATAAAACATTCAACAAAAAAGGTATAAATATGTAGTGCATAAAAGTGGGTCCAAATCATGGCATCCGTGATCGAATGAAACACGATTCGAATCGAATGAAACGAAGTGTTTTCTCTCAAATACATTCTGAACTGAAGAAGCGAATTCGCTACCAAAAGCTGTAAAGAAAATTCCGATTCGAATATGATTCGATCCCGGATGTCTTGATTCTGGCCCTGTTTTACAATAAAAGAAACAATTACTCTGCATTTCAAAATTTTTTGAATAAAATTAGTTTTGAAATGATTTAAGTTTGCACACCATTCCTTTGGCAGTCTCCCACAAAAAACGTATTGCAAACGAAAAATATTTCCATAAACAGTTGGTTGTGGTCAAAGTTAACTCCTCATGTTTATTTTAGGTATGTTCCATGATAAAATATGTATACACTGTGTTCATCTAAATCTCTTTGCTTTCTTTCGGGAAAATATTGGGAGATTTTTAGTCTTTGTTGGTAGAAAATAAAAAACAGCTAAAAAGTTGGTAGATCTATAGATAAAGTGGTAAAGTCCGTGCACTGATCACAGCACACACTTTTCTTTCTCTACCTAGCGTAGTGATCGACATGCCATAGCTTACTGAGCGCTCTGTGAGCACACGCGTGTTTCACCCATATACGAACAGCGGTAGCGAAGGAATGATTTCCACACACAAAGTATCATTCAATGAATCGTTTTTATGCAATGGTCAAACGATTCAATAAGTGGGACTGTGTGCATTATAGCTGAAATACAATGCCGGCGAACGGCGAACTCACCACAGCGAAATTCGCGCTGTCAAAATTAGAACACCCGCAAGCATATGAAATTGAACACAGCCAAAGCGAAATGCGAAGTTCGCTTGGCGGCGTTTCATGGCGATAGATTTATTTCTATCGCTCTGCTGGGCGATGACAGCTGTGCGTGCCAAAGGTGGCCGTATTTGTTTTGTGCTTTCAAAGTTTAAAAAGAAAACAACCTAAACACGATTTTTTTTTTGTTGTTTGAAAAATATAGTTGTGGATTCGTTAAATCTGGCTTGAAACAAATTATTTATAATAATCTTTCTTTGTTTTACATTTATATTTGTTATCATTTCCTCATTTCTAAATATGGTTTAGTTTTTTCTAAATATGGTCACCCAAATTATAAAGGCGACCAAATGGGATCAGCTGTTTTCGCTACCGCTCTAATTCTGTTTAAGTAGGCGAAATAGTTGGGCGAACGGTGAACGACAGCATCGCCCAGTTCGGCGAAGTTTGCCGTTCGCCGGTATTGTATTTCAAGCATTACTCAGCTGGTGCTCTTCGTATGTGAAACACATAAACGCTCAGCATTATTTAGGGGTGGCTCAAGAATGATAGAATACAAGATTGCGCCAATGAGAGAGGATTTTTGAGCGTAATTTTTGCATGACGTCATCTTGGTGCAATTGCGAGAGAGAAATGCCAAAACGCATATAAAAATATATAAAAAATGTAGAAAAATGTATTAATTTTAATATAACATGGCCCAATTTAGCAGGAATCAATATATATACAAAGATTGATTAATTAGGAACACGTAGCAATAATTTTGGACATGTAGCCCTTTAGATAAGTACGATTTTTAGCACATGAAAAAATGGATGTATTAACAGTGTTTGCAATTTCATGTTTGTGGACGGTAGCCAACCACCTTAAACTCCACAGCTGTTGACTCCACAGCTTTTATTTGATGACTTTTGTACCATTTCCGAGAGGATGCATGAGTGTGGCTTTTTTTGGAAGCAA